GAAACTATTAATACCCTTAATCAAATAGCAAGATAGAATTGTAATGAATGAATGTCTAGTTTTCACTAAATCAAAAACAAAGTAAAAACTTGTCAAATTCGTAAAATATATTGCTAAGATGTAGAATCCCCTTACTAATCCATTTTTAGTTCTACAATTTGAATTGACATTTCGAAATCATTCTTGTTGGTATGTTTCTATTTTAATTAACAACTTTTCTCGATAGCAATTAAATCTAATCTCATACGGGACCTTCCTATATCTCTAAAAAGATACGAATGTACAAGAAAGTATTAAACGAGCTACAACATCTATAAAAATATTTGAATCATAAATGTATATCTCTATCCTCTATCGAACCTTACAAAGTTTATCACTATGTGATAATGATCTTACTATCTCTCGATGATAATAAAAACCACAAACAATTTAAATAATAGCCAGTTAGTGGAAAAGCAAACTAAACCTTGATAAACATCCAAACATTTAGATAAATTAATTTCAATCAAATCATTCAACCAAAAATCTTATAACAATGGTTCATCTAATCCTAGAGCTGAAAAGAGTGTATCCAAGTATATTGAAATTACTAGAACACATTCTAAAGTTAATAAACATCATTCGAAAATTAAATAATTGGCAAGAAGTCTTAAATTCTTGAATATCTTTGATGAATTCTTGATATCTCTTGAAGTTTCCTTCCAATCCTTGTGCAAGTTTCCTAGTATGAAGTGTGTTCAATAGTTTTCTTGTAATTCTTTGGGTGAAATCTCTCACAAGTATGAATTTGCCCTCTTCTTCAATATAATTCTGCCAAGTTTTTTGAGTTGTTTTTTTTTGTGCATAAAAGAGGCTCTTCCATGTGTATGGAACATTCTGGTATTTATTTGACTCAATTCTAGGTCAAAGATATCGTACAAAATCTTGCCAAGTTGAGTTTTAATAGTATAAGAAAACCTGAGCTTCGTCTCAAATCTTGTACCATGTAGTAGCATAATACATTGGGATGTGACTTATAGTTCACTTGTTGAACTCCAAATTCCTCCCTGTGTGCATGGATGCGACCGCATGGATTTTCGTATTATGCGATAGCATAATTTAGTTTTTTTCGCGGACAAACTTTAGTATTCTGGTCATATCTTTCTCTCTCAATATTTGATTGAGGTGATTCAAAGTGTGTTGAAAATATAAATCAAAGGACTACAATTCTTTGGAGATATCATTTTTCCAATTCAAAAGTTTGCTATACCAAAAATAGGTCTCAAACAGAGATTAAAAGTCTGAAGCATAACTTTTTTGCCTGAAAATTAAGATGTGATAATATTTCGATTATATTTTATCACTTTGACATATTTCCTCATCCAATTGACCCCTAACACTCAAATTTTCATCATAAGGTTGGAAACAACTTTTTAATAATTGTATTTTAGTCTTCAAACTTTGATTTTGCTTCATTTCAGCCATTTTCTCTTATAATCTTGTTCCTTCATCTTTCAATTGTATCTAATTAAAGTCTTGGTATTTTCGATCTTCATTTCGTTGCCGTCTCATCTATAGATTATTTGAAACTTGGTCCACGTCTTTTGAATTTCACTCTTTTTTTAGGGTTTCCTTTTGTTTTCTTCCAATTTCTTGCACAATCATTGAGTTTTACTTATATAATACAAAAATACAATAATTTAAACTATATTTCATCAGAGGAGAACTAAATATCACTATTTAAGGCCGTAAAAAAGTGTATAAAATACACTTATCAAATACTTCCAAACTTAAATATTTGTTTGTCCTCAAACATAACCATCATCTAAATAATAACAAGCACACAATCATGCAATGATGTTTGGATATATAATCTTGATTCTTACCTCAGGATTCAAGATTTTAGTGTTAATTCCTTAAATATGCTTTAAAGTTACAATACCAAACCAATAATCCACTCTTCCAATGCAAAATCTACATGTGTGTGAAGAATTAAGTAATCAACCATGACTGCACAAGTTATTTTAATTTCTGACCCTCTGTGGTCAAATATATCCTTTCATATCTTGTATTATTCACAATACACCAATTTTCTTCTTTTCACTCGTTCCCAGTGTGGGATAGGTTAAATTATTCATTACTATCCTCACTCTTTCTATTTTAAGTAGACGTCACTAGTGCAAATCAATACATCAATGAATAAGGATTCTCCAATTATTTGATTGTTTCGACCTCCAAGACTCAACTAGATTAATTATCCTTAATCAAAAATCAAATTTCCTCAAACAAATGTTTGGAACTTAACCAAGACATTTAGTGCTTCTATTTTTCTTATACACTTTTTTTTTTTTTTTTTACATTCTCTCCCTTAAGCTTTCTAGACAAACCATATAAAAAATTTTAGGTCTATGACTCTCAAATAAGATGATTTTAGTACACTAGATTTTAAAGACCTTTACAGGCTTAATAACCTTAGTAAAAAAGGCTTCGAAAAGAACAATTTTTTTGTGCAACTTCCTTTCTAATTGTTTCCAAATGACCTTTGTAATGAGCTTTAGGCGGATGACTCTTAAGTCAGGTGATCTTAAGGCACCAGATTTTAAAATATCCTTACAGATTTAATTGCTTGAGTCAAAATGACTTTAAAGAAAGGTTTCTACATAAAAAAATTATGCCTTGATTAGTACAATATCCCTTATTAAACACCCATTCAAGCTAACTGACTTCCTATTTAAGAACTTTCACCCAATCTTATCTTGTTAGTTTAAGACAATAAACACATAACTTTTTCACACAAGGAATCCACATTCACATTCATATCTTCCTACAATAGTAAAATCACCTCAAAATACTAGATTTTGGTCTCAGAACAATCAATTTAAGATAGCTTTGGATCTCACCTCTATGTTTAATCTTTCAATCTATTCAACATATGAATCAACTTGTTGCATCATGATGTAAAACTCAATTCTTGTGTGTGTATGATATGAAATTCTACAAGACTAAGCATCAATTAATTTAAGCATATAACCTATCTATAGTCCATAAATCAATACCAAATCTCAAATTAAATAATCATTGCTAGCCAGACTGTCTAACAAGCACACCATCTTAAATATATTTTTTCAAGCATACTAAAACAATCACACTAAAGCACACAAGCATACAAAAAAATCAAAAATTTTCCCACCCCAAACTTAAAACTAACATTGTCCTCAATGTCATAAAGTATAAGTAAACACATAAGGGGTGGAGAAGAAAAGGAAAATGGTATTCCTCCAATTTTTATGTTGAATGAGTAGGGTACCATAGGTAACGGCTAGACAATCTCTTTATCATGCTTTTCCTTTGGTCTATGTCAGTTTGAGTGCTCCACGATGTCATTTCCTACAAACAATGGTTAAATTAAATATTAAAGATCAAATAACCTAGAACATGTGTTGCTTAGCCCAAACAATCGAAGTAACCAACATTAAACTCAAAGACCTAAGGGAAAACATAGTAGGATGGTGATACCCTATAATTTAAGTGTGCCTAAGTCTAATGCAAACCAATAATCAAAATAAATCTACGAAAAGGAAAAAAATAAATAAAAGAGTTAAAAAAGTTTGATTATCTCCCAATCAGCTTTTAATTTATAGTCTTTAGCTAGACTTGTAGATTGATCATTTTGGGTTATAGAGTGAGGTAAGCGACTTCTCTTTATCAAAATCGCTACCATAACATGCTTTCAAATGCTACCCATTTACTTTGAAGGTAACCTTTGCTTCATAAGTCATCTCAACTGCTCCATGTAGAAAGACTTGAACAACTGTGATTGGTCCAAACCATCTAGAACGCAATTTCCCAAAAAAAGTTTTCAACCTCGAATTGAACAAAAATAATTTTTGTCCTGAAGTGAACTCACACCTCTGGATGAATTTATCATGTAATTTCTTCGTCCTCTCCTTATACAACTTCACATTCTCATAGGCATCCATCCGAAATTCATCCAACTCATTCAGCTACAACATCCTCTTTTCTCCACCTGTTGTAATGTCCATGTTCAATTGCTTTACTGTCGAGTATGCTCGATACTCCAATTTCACGGAAGGTGACAAGCTTTTCCAAATACAAGACGGTGCGGTGACATGCCTATTAGTGTTTTGTAAGCAGTGCTGTAAGTCGATAGTGCATCATCAAGCTTTCACAACCAATCAGTTCTGGAGCTATTCACTATCACCTCGAGAATGCTATTCAGCTTTCTAATTGACACTTCCATCTGGCCACTTGTTTGGGATGATAAGGTATGGCAACTTGATGTTTCACCCTATATCTTGCTAATATTGACTCCAAAAGTTTGTTACAGAAGTGTTTACCTCCATCACTAATAATCATTCTAGGGTACCAAAGTACGAGAATATGTTCCTCTTCAAAAAATATACAATCACTCAAGCATCAATGGTTGGTACTGCTACTACTTTTATCCATTTTGATACATAGGCAACTGCTATCAACAAGTACTGATTATTGTAAGAGGAAGGAAATGGTCCTATAAAATCGATCACCCAAACGTCGAAGAGCTCCACTTTTAAATCGAATTTAAAAGCATCTCATTCTTTTTTGGAACTTGTCCATATACGTTGGCATAGGCCATAGTGTTTCATATACTCGTGAGCATCCTTAAATAGCGAGGGATAGTTAAATTCTGATTGTAGGACATTCATTACTGTCTTAGAAAACCCAAAATGCCTAGCATAAGTAGAATAATGACAACACTCCAGAATTTGAGAGACCTCTGCACTTGGCACACACCTTCCAATGATTTGATCAGCAACTCTCATGTATAAGATGGGACCCTCCCAATGATGATACTTCAGCTCCGAGAAGAATTTATTCTTTTAGTGGTGTGTGAACTCAAGTGGAAGCACATTACACGCCAAGTAGTTCAATATGTCTGCATACCATGACCCATTGTCAACAACAAAGATATGGTAATCTAGGAAATAATCCTTTATATTGACCTCATCCGTCTATTCTATTTATTCAAGCCTTAAAAGGCAGTATGCTAGCATATTTTCACTTTTCTTCTTGTCCCAAATCTCAAAATCAAACTTTTGAATGAAAAGTATCCATCGAATCAACCTGGGCTTCACATTCTTCTCAGTCATCAAATATTTCAGGGCCGCATGATCTGTGTAGACAATTACCTTTTGTTCCATGAGATACGATCTGAGCTTGTCAAAGGCGAACACAATGACTAGTAATTATTTTTCTGTGGTTACATAATTCAGCTGTGCTTCTATCAAAGTCTTTCTCGTGTAGTAGATGACATAGAGAATTTATTCTTTTTTTTTACCCAATCCTATCCCCACTACATAATCACCAGTGTCGCACATCAGCTCAAATGGCAAGTCCCAGTCTAGTGCGGCTATAACCTGTGCAAATTAACTTTTTTAGAGTATCAAAGGATGCCAAACACTCCTCAGAAAAGTTAAATTTGCAGAATAGATAAATTTATCGACTTCACCAGTATGTCTTCAGTAATTCTCCTTGGGAATTTATAGACTTGTCTGCCAACTGCAAGGAGATCGATGTTGCATTTGCCTCTCCCAAGTTTAGTTTCATGAAAATAAAGTAAGGCGTGAGGTTAATGTTAATACCTAAATCATAAAGAACTTTATCAAATTTCATGTAACCAATAATATAAAGGATAGTAAAACACCCTGAGTCCTTTAGTTTAGGTGGCAGCTTATTCTGCAAGATAGCACTGTATTCTTCATTCAACATCATTGTCCCCAAATCTTCCAGCTTCCTCTTGTTGGTGAGTATCTCCTTCATGAATTTAGCATAGCTAGGCATTTGTACAAGTGCATCCACAAATAGAATATTGTTCTACAGCTTTTTGAATACATCAAAGAACTTCGAGAATTGCTTGTCAAGCTTTTGCTTCTGTAGCCTATGTAGAAAATGGGGCAGTTGAACAATTTCTTTGGTAGAAATGATTATCTTAAACTTTGGATCCTCTTGTACTTTCTCTTGTTCTTTGTTTTGTTCAGATTCTTCCAAGTGCTCATCAATCATATTAGGTACCTTCACTTAAGTCACCACTAGCCTTTTTACATTTATCTCAGATAGTTGTATCCCACTATGGGTGGTTACATCCCTACAGTGCTCATTAGGGTTTGTTTCAGTGTCACTAGACAATGTTTCTGGTAGTTTCTCTGAAAGTGCCTTGACTATCTGTCCTATTTGATTTTCGAATTTTTTTATGGCAGCTCTTTGAACTAGCAAGTTTTTATCCGTTCTTTGTATGTGTTGAGTGGATATTTCTGCTAACTTAATCACAACATCTTCTAGTGAAGACTTCCTCTCATTCTACTAAAATTCGAGTGGTGCGGTCTGCAGTAATGTGATCTGAGCCCCCTGATTATTACTCCACTAAAAGTCTGGGTAATAGGTATTAGAATTTGAATTGTGTTGTTGCCTTTGAAAATTCTGAGTGTAGTTCACGTCCTCCACTGTCTTAATAAAAGGAGATCCTACATTACAATCAACACTCTCTTGGCCCCCTCCACAATGTTTACATTTTGGTCCCACTATCTTGTTTGTGTTCATCTAATCTGCTTTCTATGCCAATGATGCCAACTGTGCTGAAATTTTAGTCAGAGATTAACTTCAAATACCCTAGCAGCTTTCTTTTCACTTGTCCTTTTGGTAGGCCAAAGCGTATTGATGATTGCTAAATCCTCTATGATTTGGTAGACTTGATCTGTGATTCTTTTTATGATTGAACCATCACATGTAGAGTCTATATTAGCCCTGCTAATCGGATTCAGAACAATGTAGAAATATTGCACTTGAAGCCATTAATACAATTCGTGTTGTCGACATTGATGGAATAAACCTTTGTATTATTCCCAAGCCTCTGAATAGCTATCTGAGTCTAGTTGTCGGAAAGTGATAATTTCATCCCTTAGCTTTGCAATCCTTTTTGACGGGAAATATTTGCTAAGGAATTTGTGACTCGGTTCCACGTGGTAATGCTCTGGGGTAGACAAGTGTCTAACCACTCCCTTGCTGAGTCTCTTAATGTGTATGGAAAAGCCTCAGTTTGATTGCTTCGTTTGACACCCCTAGATAATCTATACTTGAACACATGTCCAGAAATCTTGATATATGAGTGTTGGGATTCTCTATAGCTCTTCCAATAAATTGTAGATCATTTTGTAACATGATAACATTTGCCCTCATCAGTAAATGTTGGATATACGATGTTGGATTAGCTTTACCCGACCGATGGAATCATAAACTCTCCCATAAGCCTTGCATTTTCATCAGCCACTGCAACATTCGATTGTGCCACTCCCAAATTAGCCCCAATGGCTATTTGATTCGAACTTTCATTTGCCATGTCTTCTTCTTACTGTTTTTGGTATGTTTCCAACTGTGTCTTCTTCGAAAGTTGAATGTTCGTTTGATCTCCAGGTTAAATTGAACAAGATCACAGGTTCTTAAACTTCCCATACAAGGTCCTTAGAAAGAATAACTGTAAAGTTTTTCTAATTTAATAAACTAAACTAAAGAAAATAGTAAAAATTCATAATAAAACTAAAATTAACTAACACTAGTAAAAAACAATAGTCTTCAACAACGGCGCCAAAAACTTGACCCTTTGAAAACCCACAAGTGCATGAACTCATGAGCAAGTAATATAATGGTAAATTAAGTGTTGAACCTACGAAAAATATGTGTTTGGTCTTGTTGAAGCTATTAATACCCTTAATCGAATAGCAAGAGAGAATTGTAACGAATAAATGTCGAACCTACGAAGACTATATGTTTGATTTTGATTCAAAATTGCTTCTTGAATAAGATCTGGAGCAAGAGTTTGTCCCTTATT